ATGCCAATAATGGTTGTCACCCTCCCCACCCCAACCCCCCACACACCCTTATCCCTCTCCAATTAAAGGGGGTGACAACCATTATTGGCATGAGTAGTATATAACATTCTTAAGTAGTTCATTCGTTTCCTCTTTGAAAGTTAACAATAGTGGCAAACTGTTTCGACAGATTTGTCATCCTTGAAAAAAACTAAGAAACACTGATGTGAGTTCGAATCCTGGTTCTGCCCAGTTATGTATCTGACAGCACCAAAGTGGTTTAACCAAAGTGGTAACCGTTTCATGTTTGAATCACTACGGGCTTTCATCCCACATTAAACAGACACGCCGTGAAAATGATTTCCGATGAATCCCCCATGTTATCCTCCCTTATGATCCCGTGGTTTTTTAAAGTGAATATTTGCCTTTCCTTTGGGTGTGTTTGTATCCTGCGCTCGGTGGGGTACGATGAGCAGACGTTTTCGTTACCTTGTATCTATCGATCGTCACTTCGGCACTGTGTTCATGAACACATGCTTATGATTTAGTCGGAATCGTATAATGGATTCTTCTGTGTTTAGATTTATGATGATTTTGGAAAGGATTTTGTCGCTTATCGTTACCCAGCTAACTGATTGTTAAAACGTGTTAAAAACCGCCTCACACACTCAACCATAAACGTTTAGAGTTTTTTTGTCTGACGTGCGCACGTTTTTCTACCACCACAACCTTTTCGGTCGGTGGGGTAACTTAGTGTTTGGGGGTTCAGGTCCAGGTTCGATTCCCCACATTTGTATAATGTGTAAAGACTCTTTCTGAGGCCCAGCGTCGTGATAATGCAGGAAAACTGGCCATGTGGGACAGTGGTTAAAGTGTTCGCTCGTTATGTCGAGTACCCGGGTTCGATTCCTTACACGGTTACAAGCCGATTTCTGGTGTCCATCGCCGTGATATTGCTGGAATATTGCTAACGACGGCGTAAAGCCAACTCACTCACATAATGAGTGAGTGAGTTTAGTTTTACGCCGCACTCAGCAATATTCCAGCTATATGGCGGCGGTCCGTAAATAATGGAGTCTGGACCAGACAATCCTGTGATCAACAGCATGAACATCGAACATCGTCAACCACACTCACATAAAAGGCATATATAAAATGTGCAATTATTTGAAAACAGGCAACATCATTCAAACTTTTAGAAGCGGCTACAGTGTTGTCTGAACTCACGTTACATCACCGCTCCCCATCCTTGACAGGCTTATGTATGTACAGTAAAGAAATGTCATCTTCTAGTTAGAAGAGTATCCTCAGTAACGATGTGTACAATGCACCTGTGTCTACAAGCAAGGATGCTGACCTCATACTCTTTTTGCTGCATATGCAACCTGTTTAACTCTCTCCTGTAATTCCGCTGTGTAGTAATTCTATGGTGTGAGTCTCTGTAACCTATAAATTACTTTGTAAAGGTATGAGAAGCCTTCGTTTGTGAATAAGCGAATATAGCTGAAAGCCACATTTTGCAACCATTTGAGCTTTCATATGCATCACCTGTTGAGTGTACGTGTCTGTCGCTAACCTGTGAACACCCTTAAAATGAGACGTTATATACTACCCCTACCCAAAGACCTGAGGACATCACCTGTCGTGTCAGAATTACCTCTCATACGATCTCTGCCATATGCCATGCATTCCAGAATTTTCTTGTATTCGTCTTGCAAACTTTGAATCGAGAACTTCGTCAAAATATATACTCTTCCAAAAAAGAAACGCATCATGAAAATAGCAATTTCATGTAGCAATGAATGAAAACGTGATTCATTTTACAAAAGGTTTTGCTCTGTTGATGAGTCCTATGGTGTTTATGTTTTGAAACATCACAACAAAACGCACCATCCGTAAAATACCCGTATTTAACAGCATGATTTTCAATTTCGGCGTGTAGTGTCACATAATACACAATTCACATGCAATGCACGTGAAAGTTGGGGATCAGATAGTCTCAATGATGGGTAGAAAAGGTTGATCGCTGTCTGTCGATTATTCACTGTATTTGGAATATTGTTGACGAACGCAAAATGCCACGTCTAAGTGAAGCCAACCGTCATATCGCCATTGGTTTGCTTGAAGCTGGCCAGTCTCAACGTGCAGTTGCCCGACGCATTAATGTTCACCAAAGCACCATTTCACGGCTCTGGGAGAGATATCGCCGGCAGAATGCGGTAGCAGATGCCCCTCGTAGTGGGCGACCTCGAGCGACCACTGCGGCGCAGGATCGCTACATCCGGGTACATCACCTGCGTCATCGAACAGCTACGGCGACCAGTACCGCTCGACAAATACCCGGATTGAGGAGGCTTTCTGCACAGACCGTCAGGAACAGGTTGAGAGAGGCTGGTTTGCGTGCCAGAAGGCCTTATTTTGGCCCTGTGCTTCGACAACAACATCGTCGACATCGAGTTCAATGGTGCACCAACGTTCAGGCCTGGAACCTACCGAATTGGCGTAGAATCTGGTTCAGTGATGAATCACGATTTCTATTGGAACGACGCGATGGAAGAAAGCGGGTGAACAGACGTCGACGTGAACGTTTCGCCGACGCTTGCGTTCCCCAGGTGGACAGATTCGGCCGGGGCTGTGTTATGATGTGGGGGGTGATCACCTGCCGTAGGAGAAGTGATTTGGTGATGATCCAGGGCAACCTGACAGCTCAACGGTACTGTGACGATATCCTACGCCCACGCCTCCTTCCAATCATTGATCGCCAGAGGGAGTTGTTTCAACAGGACAATGCCATGCCCCACACAGCACGTCACACTAGTGACTTCCTCCAGAACCCCAACATCAATGTGCTCCCCTGGCCCTCAAGATCACCGGACTCATAAAGCCTACAAGATGTTTCAAAATAAACATCTAAATGCGGATGCGCCCTGGACAGACGGGTGCTCAAAGCGCTGTAACCCTCAGCCCTGAGAAAAGGTGGGACACTTAAAAATGTCAATTAATGGCAGAGCTTTTCGCACGGGCACAAAGCACAGAGAATGATCGGTGTCCGAAGGATTTCAGTTTGTAGGATGGGATGACCAGTCGGTTTTGTGTGTTTGAGCGCAAGTTGCGATGCGGGGACATTCGGATGTAGGAGTTCAGACAAGTAGGAGGGAGCCAAACCATGGAGGCACTTGTATGCCAGAGGATCTTAAAGTCAATTCTGGCCCTAACTGGTAGCATAGTTGCATAGTTCTTTCAACGCAGTTGAAATTACTATATGCGTTTCTTTTTTGGAGAGTATATTTCTTCTGTTAATCTGGATTAGAACTCGCCAATTTCAGTATATTCCCTTAGGGTGGTTTAGTGTTGTCCCGATACTCCTCAGTCCCGAGTTCGATTATAAATTTGGTAAAAAGTCGGTAGTTACGTGGAAGGGTAACTTTGGTAGCAGCCACGAAAAACCAACTCATTGTCTCGATGACGACCATGTCCATCCAATCACGTCTAATATTAATACACTGAAGGTGAAGGTAGGTATAGATGAATATCGACACCAAGCAGTGAAAATGTTCAATATATTTGAAAACAATATCACAAATATGTTACATGACAATCTGAACTCTGAGGTTGTTAAAAATGACATGGTGAAAGCACAGGGGCTTGTAACGCTAAAATCTGCCATCAAGGTATATACTTTCATTGGGGTCTTAGTACTATACTCATGCCAATAATGGTTGTCACCCCTTCAATTTTTTAATTGGAGAGGGGTGTGGGTGGGGTGAGGTGTGTGGGGGTTGGGGTGGGGAGGGGTGACAACCATTATTGGCATGAGTATATACTAAAGGATGCTTTCATATAGTACCAAGACCCTGTCAGTGACAGTGTAGGTGTTTGAAATACCATGATATTTACGAAAGAATTCTTTCATCTGTCTTTGGTCTGTCTTGACCAGAAGTGTTCCGAAACCGGAGGCTAGAGACTGAAGACGCTTCTTTCGGTGTTACTTGTGCACACATGACGGGTCTGTTGTTCATGAACATGGCGCCAGCATTTGTGAAGCTGTACACCCTGCATAGGTGAGGTGAGGTGAAATTGGGTTTTACGTCGTACTTGAGAATATTTCGCTCATATGAGGACGTGCATGCGAGTGTATGTACTAGCCCAGACTTAAGCTGGTTTTATAGTGCTAGCCCACTGAGATACCATGCCGCAGTGAAGCATAAATACCCCAGTCAGACACATTTTACTGACTCCGAGCCGACCAGTCCTTGTTGTACCCATTAATGCCGAGCGCCAGACAGGGACCAACAAGTACCATATTTTAACGTCTTTTGGTATGACGCGGTCGGGGATCGAACCCGCGACCTTCCGCTCTCCAGGCGGACGCTCTACCCACTACACCACGGAGGCGGTCTGTACACCCTGCATAACAGGCATAGCTTTGGGGTATAGAAGTGTAAGACAGACCTTACACGGATGCTATTTTATGAATATGTTAGGTCCGTTTCAAGTCCTTTTATCATCTACTTTTAACATTGCATCGAGATAGATGAAATATCCCCTTGGTGTATCGGCTAATTATGGGAATGACTCTTGGTTGATTTTGAGATTTAACTTGCAGCATCGCCTTCTCTTCTCACCGATTGTTTATTGTTTAACGCCACACTCAGCAATATTCCAGCTGTATGGCGCCTGTCTGTATATAATCGAGTCTGGACCAGACAATCCAGTGACATCAGAGCATCGATCTGCGCAATTGGGGTACGATAACATGTTCAACCAAGTCATGATCACCCGATCCCGTTAGTCGCCTCTTACGACAAGCATGGGTTGCTGAAGACCAATTCTAACCCGGATCTTCACGGATGGGACAAGCATGGGTTGCTGAAGACCAATTCTAACCCGGATCTTCACGGATGGGGACAAGCATGGGTTGCTGAAGACCAATTCTAACCCGGATCTTCACGGATACACTTGGCACAGAACTAACATTACAATACTGGGCTACAGCACCAGGTGTCATTCAAAACACGAGCAACAATTCACAGTGTTTATTCAGACTGACAAATAATACATCTCAATGCTAAACTATGTTAGACATCGGGTAAAACGGAAAGTTTATTTATTAGATTTTCCAGTAAAATGGGTTGTCGAAACTGGACCAGTCGAACTTGGGCATCTCCGGCATTTTGACCCGGCCCCCACATTTACACGAATCTTTCTGGACACCGTTGATATTCGAGGAGCTTGTCGATATGGACCCAGCTCCACGGGGACAGCAGTACCTGACACCGTTCAGCTCGGCTTTGTTGGTTGCGTTGCGACATCCTGGATCACTTTCAGGTAAACAATCAGTTGGCCCTGCAACAGGGTGGAACGCCACGTATAGTGTTCAGTGTTAACGATACAGAACTATACTGTCTGTAAACTACTACTACATCAGCAGGTGCTACTACTACTTCAGCAGGTGCTACTACTACATCAGCAGGTGCTACACTTCAGCAGGTGCTAATACTACATCCACAGGTGCTACTACTAAACTTCAGCAGGTGCTACTACTACATCAGCAGGTGCTACTACTACTACTGCTCATGTACTACTACTACATCAGCAGGTGCTACTACTACTACTACTACTACTACTACTACCACCAGAACTACTGAATCTATTCCGTAACTTGAATTATTTCCTACAACCACCACCACCACTACTACTACTACTACTACTACTACTACTACTGCTACTAATACTCCCATTATTGCAACCACCACTACTAATGCTGCTAGAGCTACTTCTACTATTGCTACCTCTACTGCTTCTACTACTGCTGCTACTACTAAGTACTACTACTACTACTGTTACTACTTAGTACTACTACTACTACTACTAAGTACTACTACTGCTACTACTACTACTACTACTTACTACTGCTGCTACTGCTACTACTTAGCACTACCACTACTACTACTACTGCTACTACTACTAACTACTACTACTACTACTGCTGCTACTACTAAAGTACTACTACTACTACTACTACTACCACTACTGCTACTACTAACTGCTACTACTACTACTACTACTACTACTGCCACTACTACTACTACTACTGCTACTACTACTACTACTACTACTACTGCTGCTACTACTGGCTACTACTGCTACTACTACTACTACTAAACTACTACTACTACTACTACTACTGCTGCTGCTACTACTACTGCTGCTACTACTGGCACTACTACTACTACTAATCACCGCTACGACAACTCACTGATTCTGTGATAAATAGCTACTCATTCACCACCAATCACTGCAATGCCACAATCACTATCCTCACAAACACACCCTCATCCGTCAGGGTGTGATTCTGTATTGATAAATAACTTGGGCTCATTCACTACCGATCTAGTTATCAACAGCATGAACATCGATCTACGTAAATGAGGTGCGATGACGTGTCAACGAAGAGAGCGATCCCGACCACCCCACCATTTAGTCGCCTAGAGACTAAAGCCACTGCAAGTTTTAATGGATAGTGTGTTTTAATTTTAGCTTTAACCCAGACTAAGCACTATTCCAGCTATAAGAAGGCAATCTGTGAACAACCGAGTCTGGTCCAGACAATCCAGTGATCAACATCATGATATGATATGTGTTAAACAAGTCAATGAACCTGACCACCCAATCCCGTTAGTCGCCTCTTACGACAAGCATGGGTGGATAAAGATACATTCTAACCCGGATCTACAAGGGCAAACTCATGTCTTGACAGAGATCTGAACGGCTAAAGTTGTGACATGCAAGAGCTGGAAAAAAGACAAGAGTGAAGATACATGCTGAGTGGGAAAAGAGCGAACCTTTGGATTTACCGTCAGCAGAGTCCCCTTAACAAATAAAGCCATGTTTATTACAACCAAACATTTTAGTCAGCTCAGGAGAGCAGAATATAAGTTTCATGCATGATGAAAAAAATAGTTTCGCACAATTTACACAGCTCCCTCTTACACAAATGCTAGAGACTAAAGCCATTGCATCTTATAATCGATAGTGTGTTGTTTTACGTCATACTCAGCAATATATATGAAGGCAGTCTGTAAATAATCCAGTCTGGACCAGACGTACAATCCAGTGATCAATAGCATGAGCATCGATCTACCCAACTGAGATCCGATGACATGACATTGTGTCAACCAAGTCAACCAGGGTCGTCACTCACGTCTTATTAATGTTTTTTCGTACAAAGTCAATGTACAGTGAAAAGTCCACTATTTCCAGACATTTCCTGGAATTTTGATATTGATCTTCCAAATATACAGATATTAAAGTCAACGCGGGTCGCCACTCACGTCTTGACACAGAACTGAAAGGCTAAAGTTGTGTCATGCAAGAGCAGGAAAAAAGACAAGAGTGAAGGTACATGCTGAGTGGGAAAAGAGCGAACCTTTGGATTTACCGTCAGCAGAGTCCCCTAAACAAATAGAGCCATGTTTATTACAACCAAACATTTTAGTCAGCTCAGGAGAGCAGAATAAAAGTTTTTTGCATGATGGGAAAAAACAAATTGCACAATTTAGAGACCTTCGAAGTTCCCCCTACACAAAAAGTGTTGAAATCCCTAAGGAGGATATCAACTAAAATCATAACATTGCGTAAAATTTTCAACACTGTGCAAACACTGAACTGTAGGGCTCCCAAATATATAAAACTTCAAACACTTGGGCCATTCCCGTGGTTATTGCGATCGCAGATTATCCGCCCTTGAACCAATCAAACTTCCACTCGGGGGAAAGGTCAAGGGAGGTAACTCGTATCACCTGGAGATTAAAGCCACTGCTACTTTTCATGGATACGAAGACATCCTGTCCATGGAAGAGATTTTTAGGGATTTCTTTTGCGCGTCAGTTATCTTTTTCACTATTGAACTTCGATATTGAAAGTCGATCCTAACAACAGCACTATGTTGTTGATATTACCAGTGCAGCAATTATTTATTGGAATTTCCAAAACCTACTTCCTCAGGTATAATTTTTCAGATAAACGTTTGAATGAATCTCAGTTGAATTTATTGACAATTATTGGTGGAAGACTGATGCTCAGTGTTTGTCGAGATGACTCACCTGCCAGTGTGTGGCACATCAGCATACACACCAGTCCTACAGTCACCCATACACTCAGGGTGTTCATCTTGTTCTGGTTCTCTACAAAACACAAAAAGAGCATTAATAAGTAATGCAAAAACACCTTGCATATTGAGCGTTCATATTGTTTTCAATCACTCTCCTCTCTCTCGCTCCTCTTTTCCCTCTATTTATCTCTCCTCTTCCCCTCTCTTTCTCTCTCGTCTCCCCTCCACTCTCTCCCCAATCTTTCTCTCTCCCTCTCCTCTTTCCCTCCCATCTCTCTCTCCTCTTCCCGCTTTCCCTCTCTCTCTCTTCTTCCTCCTCTCCCTCTCCTCTTTCTCCTCTCTCTCTCTCTCACCTCTCTTTTCACTCTCTCTCTCCGCTTTCCTTCTATATCTCTCCTCTTCCTCCCCTTTGTCTGCCTCCTCCTCTTCCCCTCTCTCTCTCTCCTCATCCCCAATCTTTCTCTTTCCCATCCCTCTCCTCTTCCCCTCTCTCCCCTAATATTCTCTCTCCTCTCTCCTCCCCTCTCTCCTCTCTCTCCTCATCTCTCTCCCGCCTCTTTCCCTCTCTCTCCTCTCTCCCCTCTCTCCGCCATCTCCTCCCTCCTCTCCTCCTATATCTCTCTCTCCCATCTCTCTCCTCCTCTTTCTCTCAATCTCTCTCCTCTTCCCCTCTCTTTCTCTCCACCTCCACTCTCTCTCCCTCCCTCTCCACTTTCCCCTATATCCCCAATGCGTGTCTCTCTTTCCCCTCTCTTCCCAATGTATCTCCTCCTCTGTCTCATTCCCCCCAATGTCTCTCCCCCTAACCCCAATGTCTCTCTCATCCCATCTGTCTCCCCCATGTTTCTCTCTCTGAAACTGAAACCGCTCTCATGTTAAAGAGGAAAATATATCATGTGCCAAACAAACCGGTTTGCTCGGAAACAGATTGAGTCACGCCCCAGGCGTAAAAGTGTCAAGCTGTTGTTGTAACCACAATATGTCAGGCGACATCTGCCATTGAGGAAGTACAACATTGTCATGATTATACTGACACACACCTATATGTACCTTCAACAACATACCGGATTTCACACATTCAGCACCTGTGTGCGTTAAGTTTTTATGATTCCAACTCATTTGGGGGTAATCGGACTGATTGGAAAGGATATCGCAGATAACCTTAGGTCAATGTTGTCAGATCGGCTTTAATGCATATAAAGATTAAAAATGCGTATTTAGTTTTTAAAATCTATACTTATATGATAATACAAGTGAAAAACAATCTGAATATCACTGTACTTTTCAGACTAAAATCAGATCAGTGATGACTGAACATTAAACAAGTACCGCAAGCTGATTTCCATATCACGTGACCAAACTTTTTCTTTGTTTGCAAACAAACGCAGTATGCTTCTTGAGAGCAGTCACTGACTTATTGCTAAAATCAACTCTGCAGATGGAATGTCACAACCATGGTATAAATAGCCCCTAGTTTAATACTGTTTATCTAGTAAATATTTATAATATTTTTCTTGTAAATATAACCAAGCAATAACCAAGTATATGTCCAGACTCAACAATGAAATAAAACTACATGTTTTATCATTCGTTAACAGACTCAGTAAGAAGACTGGCTTTTCTTAAAGGCACAATGTCACACATTTTCGATCATATTTTGGCCTATATTATAAATTGGGACATATGCACTCAGCTCCCTATATATACAATACAAGACTTATTATCCCTTACGCCTTGCCTGAAATCGATAATTGAAACTTTGAGGCGAGCAGCTTCCAAACAGAGAACACTTGCCATATATGGAATGTAAATATTTACATCGAAAACTGTCGCACTCGGTGTTGTCGGTGTTTGCCGAACTGGCACCGATTTCTCGAAACGAACTTAAGTCTGAGTTTTTACTTAGAGTTTTTATTCAAATCTGAGAAAACGCAGGAGAATGCATTTTCCAGAATGAACTGAAATCGATATTACACTCTAACATAGTAGACAATTTGAGTTTGGTGAACACATTACTTTCTTTGTTTGGGCATTTTTACTTAAAAATGCTGTTGAGTTAAAAATTCAGCTGTTTCAAATTGTAAAACTCAGTTTGACATTTGAGTAAAAACTTAAGTTTGTTTCGAGAAATCGGGGCCTGGTTTCAGTCACAAGTTGTGCGGAGGATATTCTTAAAGAGCGCTCCAAGGGACATAACTAATTTTCGACCTGTAGAGGCCCGAGAGTCGAATTGATGCAACGTTGCATTATTCATTCGAACTTTGTAATTTAATATTGTAATCTAAATGCGTAATTTTTTTGGAATAAGTTATAAGGTAGATTCCTTGAGGACTGATAGTATTATTGAAAGAAATGCATTACTTATTTTAAGAGAAGTGTGGTGTGATATAGTGCCTTTAACAAAAGGAACCCTGGGCAGAAGAGCGGTGAAAATATCGACAAGGAACAGAGACTGTATCATGTAATTCTTTGCTTTATCATTGATTTTTTTAGTAATGATATGACATCGAAGACACGAGAACACACAAGAGACGAAATGGACATACCAGGAGTAGTGTTATGTGACTTTGTTCACAACAATAACACATATATTATTGTTTTAGTAATACATGAAATGACATCGAAGATACGATAATACACAAGGGACGGCATTATATACAAAGAATAGTGGCATGTGATTCTTTCACGAGTATAATGCATATTATATGTTTTAGTAATATATGACATCGAAGATACAATACCACTCAAGAAACAATATACACATACTATTAATAGTGTTATGTGATTCTTTCACGAGCATAATCTATCATTATACTCTTTTAGTAATATATGACATCGAAGCTACAATACCACACGAGGGCCTCCGTCATTAAAACGGAAGTTACGAAGACGCTTCAGGAACTGGTAACCAGTGCAAGAATTTAGTGAACAACTGAAAATATAATATAGAGCAAGATGCTTCAAATGTTTGTCTTCAGACATGTTTTGAACCTTGTCAATTAGGAAATCTGAGCCCTTATTCTCGAAACGTTTGTAGCCCTAAGAATTCTTAACTTTGGTCGTAGCCAATGTATTAAGAATGGGCTTAAGAAGTTCGCAGGCTACGAACGTTTCGAGAATAGCTAGCCTGGGCCTTGAGTTTCGAAGCTCTCTTAGCGCTAAGGTAGTCGTAAGTGCCATACATTAACATTAACTTACGACTATCTTAGCGCTAAGACAACTTCGAAAATCTAGGCCCTGGTACTTTGGAAGTCAATCACTCAACATTCTTTAACGTGACCCCAATTGAGAAGATTAATGCTCATGATGTTGATCACTGAATTGTCTGGTCCAGACTCGATTATTTACAATATAACTGTAATATTGCTGAGTATGGCGCTAAACAACAAACAAACAAAACAAACCTTACGTCACATTCGCATAAGTATACACGCACAACCGCAATAGTGTTACGGGGCAAATGTTCATCCTTGATTTTTACCTCTGTTTTGCCGTACGTAAAATGGAAGCAATAAAATATTTTTTTCCTAGAAGATAAAAATACCTTAAACTTCTAAATACTTAGCCCCTACCAGAGTTATCAAATATTAGAGTATTAAAAAATTCTTTAAAATTGCCCGTATCCATTTTAACAGGATAACTGCTCTATCAAGATTCTATACAAAATAGTCAAAACGATGTTTCAATTATCAAATTAACAACTAACAGAACGTTTTTCGAAATATAAAATAATTACACGACGTCTATTAAATGAACATGTCCCTGTGTAAACAACAATATTAAAACAATATAAAGGTAGATATATTCATACATTGGTAGAAAGTCTGTTATAAATTTGAAACAGCTCGAAACAAATGTGATGGTAATAGATTGTCATATATTAACTGTTACCAGCTGTTACGATGACATCTGAAGTAGGGCTAGGCTATATAAGTCACAGTGTCAATCAGCTCCTTGTGCAAGCCATTGCTAATGGATTCTTCTGAAACCCAGTTTACTCATGCGAAACATCACTGGTAAAAAAGTTAAATGGCATACCCTCTACTTATTTACATCGTACAAATATTTTCTAGCAACATAAACATAAGTTTATCAAGTTATCTCACCTATAATATCAAAATATCAAACAATAATTTTTCTCGACCCCACAGTGTTACGCACACCGTCTCTTACCGTGCTTCGTGCAGTATAGTGAGTTATCGTTATGTGAGTCAGATATTTCATCAGGTTCGGGAGTCAATACATGTACATGTCAGTTCCAATCCGATACCTCCACGTGTAGCAGACTGCGTTATGAACGACATCGTCTACGTGTTCAAATCCATTGTCGACCTCAACATGTTTAACTTGTCGTGTAACACCCCGGGGACATTAGGTCTATAGCTTTGATTGATTATTTAGCTGCTAAAATATCACATCTTTGTTAATTCGCGCATTTGCAGGCATTGTTGAATGTATATAGTAATATATCAATGCGCGCATGGTATTCATAATGAGCCAAAGCATTTAAACCAAAGTAAGTTTACGGAGGTTATTAAGCTGGCTTGTTTTAACCTGACATGAAAAAATAAATATATCGCCGGTTCATAGATTTTCGGACGATTTACTCGCACGAGAACGAGGCGAGTTGCAGACATTGAAAAAACTCGGATGATCGCGTGTGCTTAAGATAGGATTGCTTTATATAGATGTGAGTGTGTGTGTGTGTGTGTGTGTGTGTGTGTGTGTGTGTGTGTGTGCCTGTATATGTGTGTCTGTTTAGCTGTGTGTGTGTCCGTCTGTTTATCTGTCTGTGTGTCTGTATGTATCTGTGCATGTGTATGTGCGTGCGTAAGTATGTACATGATATATCTTATAATAAGTATAAACATTCTATTAAAAGCAACATACATACCGTCTATTTTCACCACCCCTAATCCCCGTGGAGAGTGATAGCTTCTTCATCACGTAATGTGATTGTTACTATTCATCACTAAACACATGCATTTATATCTATAAACATTGCACGGTTTCCTGAATTAGTAAATTACGCCACAATGTGATTAGTCAGTCTGACAACAATAAATATAGTCA